TTTTTGGAAGAGGAGATTTTTGAATTTTGATCCCAAAGGCTTTATTCTTGTAAGCTTTTGTTTCTTTGGATCCTAGGGAGTATATTTTGAGTTTCTATATAGTGATCTAATATTTTGAGTGGATAATTGGATGAAAAGAGGTGTTTTGGGCACAAATTAAACCCTGAGAAATTGGGTTTTTTCTCTTCAATGGTTTAAGTTTATTGATTTAGTTATAATTTTGCTATTTGAGCCCAATAAGATTTAAATTAAGGTTTGGTTTTCATTATAAGGGCTAATGATGAAAGTTGGTGACACTAAGTGAAGGTTTTTAATTGATAAAAAATTATATAAATTGAAAATTAGCCTAATGGTGGCTAATAAATGGTTTTGGTGGTTAAGTGATATTATGTGAATGGTTGGTTTAATATATGGACTATTGGGATGGATTATGGCTCATAGACCCAAGTTGTGTGGTATGAGTTATAGTCTTTATTAATGCTACTTGACATGATAAGTGATGTGGATCACTTATATGTTGTAGGGATTGTTGGTGGAAATTGTTTGGAAGTTAAGGAACAAGCCAAGTTCTATTTTGTACAAAAGGAACCCTTTTGGTACCAAAGTGTTGAGGTAACAGGAGAAATTTTATATTTTCTATTACTCTGTTTTAGCTATTTTTAAATAAATATTACTAGCTATCATGCATTATATGTTTTAAAAGATTAAATGTGCTTTATAAGGGGTTATGGGGTACTACTTTGATTATAGTGCAAATATATTTTTTTAATTGTTTAATAACAATGTTTTATAGAAACGAGATTTATAAATGTTATACTACTTTAGAGTGTTGAATGGTCAATACTCAGGAAAGATAGACAAGAGTAAAAGGCATGATCTTGGTGGGAGTTCACCAATGAGAAGGTGTGGATTTTTGATATTTATGGCACACTGTCAGTACTCAGTGTTGTCTTACGTATTGTGGGCTCAGTGCACTAAAGTGGTTAGTGTATTGAGTGTTCGACACCTCTCAGTGGGGGAGGGAATCTGACATATGAAGTGTGAGGTTTAGTGCCTAGGCCAAGGTAGCCCTCACATGGAGAGTAAGTCAGGTTGGCTCTGGGAGGGAGTTAGCTTTGACTGCTCAGGATTCACGTCGAAGGGGCATAGGCGGTTCAGTGGATTAGATCATGCCTTAGACTATGTTTTGTGCCTGTGAAGGTACAAGTAGGTATAAGATTTACCTGCGAGTTAAAGAGTGACAGAGGGCATTCTATTGGTCATAAAAGGCCATACCGGCCTAGGTCATGCATTCATACATTTTAAATGGCTAAATTATATACTATGTTGAATTTATTATTCATTTATTTAATTATGACTTACTTTGTAATAATCAATGTAGATTTCTCTGTTATTGAGACTGTGGTTGTCTCACCCCTTTCTTTTCAATATTTTCAGGTCTAGGTGAAGGATCCAGTGGTGGACGGGGAAAAGAGCAAAGTTAGGGGTTTGCTTGTGATTTGTAAAGAACTGCAACCCCTTTTTTTTGAGCAAATATATTGTAATGTATTTAAGATTAGGGTGCCAGTAGGATATGATTATGTATGTATGTGTGAATATGTGTGGATTGTGTGCTTGTGTATGAATTTTTGTCTGTTTGCAGACTTGTGGCTAGGAAACTTGGTTATGGTATGTGGTTTTGATGGATTTACTTAGTAGACCAAGTTTCTATTACAAGCAGATATTTATTTTGATATATATGTGATTTTATAAGCAAATGCAAAGTGGTTGCATTGCAAATGATGTGCTATGAGTAAACATATACCTTGGATAGAGAGAGTGGATGCGTGGGCCCCACAAGGAGCTCTGAGCCAAGTGAAAATGTTTAGCATATGTATTTATATAAATACATGGTATTTAGATTGATTTGTGACTACCCTTGTATGATTTGTGCATTTTGGGGGGTTTAGGGTCCATTTTGGGAAATGGCACCCGGGTCGTCAAATTTTGATGTATGGGGATTTTCCATCATTTGAATGTTTTATCACGTGTTTTTAGTCTTATTTGACGTGTCCAAAGTGTTCCCACAGGTTTGTGATCATTAGGATGAGATTTGGATAATTTTGAAAATGGTTTTTACCAAAAAGCTGTACTTTTGCATCCGGGTGTCCAAATCTTAATCCGACCGTTGGATTTCTCTAAAATTTGGGTCAGAAGTAAAACCTTTTATAAGCTTCGTGTGGGCTTTGGAATCACGTCGATCGGATATTAGACGGAGAAACGACGCACTTCAAAATTTGGTCTGGAGGTGCTGTCATGACAGCATTAAATTGCTGTCATGACAGCTACAGTGTTGATTTTGTAACCTGTACAAAATTTAATTCATCCGTTGGATCTTTTCAAAATTTAGTATTCTACTAGTATTCTTTAAAAGCGATATATGGGCTTTGGAATCACTCCGATCGGAGGTCAGATGATGAAATGGTGCACTCCGGAAATTGGTCCGGAAGTGCTGTCATGACAGCTTTTGACAGCAAAAATAATCAAATTTTTAACATGTCTAATTTTAAATCCGACCGTTGGATCTTTTTGAAATTTGGTATACTTATAGTACTCTTTGAATGTGACATGTGAGCTTTAAAATTACTTCGATCAGAGCTCGAATGACGAAACGGTGCTTTCTGGAAGTTGGCCCAGGAGGAGGGCTGTCATGACAGCAAATTTAATGCTGTCATGACTGTATCTTTTTATTTCACTTTCGTCTAGCTTGCTTCCGCGTGCTATAGGTAAAACCTATAAATTTTTTTTAAAAGGCTTGAAATATTTACTTTGCAATTGTGTATTTGCTTAGTGATTTAAATGGTTTGTTTCCTAAGTTGGTTTTAGGATTAATTCCTTAACCACACTTAGTTTATTTGAATTGTGTGATTTTTGGATAACACTCGGGGCAAGTGTTACATATGTACTAATATGGATACATGAAGCAATTTAAAGTATTGATTATTTATAGAATATACATACTTTAAAGATAAAAATATCTAGTATTTAATAACCATCCCAACAATTAACAAGGACAAAAGGCGAAAGATGAATATAACAATTATTAAAATGCCTTATAAAAAAGATCAAAGTAAATAATATCTCTTCACCTCATAAATAGGACCTAAGAAGTACTTGTCATCAAGGTTGTCAAACTCAAAGTTTAAATAAATTCATAATGGGGATGTAAATTCAAATTGTAAACTCATAAGATAATGATTCTATTAGAATCCCTTTAGCTCAAGGTTAAGTCAGTTGAGAGTGCCTACCTCATAGTTAGATGAAGCTCAACATAGATGGTTCTGTACAAGACCATTTTGGACGTGTGGGGTATGGAGGGTTATTTCATGATGAAAAAGGGATACGGGTGGCTAGTTATATGTGCAATTTAGGACATTATTCTCCATTAGAGGTTGAATTATGGAGCATTTATCATGAATTTAAGGTTGCAAAAGATATGAATCTCAAGAATCTTATTATAGAGAGTGATTCAACAACTACTTGTTAACTTCTTCAATCCTTCCTTGATTGTTAACTTCTTCAATCCTTCCTTGACTCAGGACAATCGGATTCTTGGCAACTCAGGCATGGTATCAAGTTTCTTAATCCTAATGTTGATGTTGTAGTTAAGCATGTTTTCAAAGAAGGCAATAGACGTGCAAATTGGCTTGCAGAGAAGAGTGTGGACTAGCTTGACAACTGCTTTACTCTTGAGATGCCTCTAAGGGAGCTTGTTTCTTTATTATATCAAGATTCCATAAGGGTTTTGGTCCCTTGTTTTGTGTCTTAGTTTTCTAGTTGTTTGGACTTTGCCCTCCTAAAAAAATAATTAAAAAAAACATGATTAACTAATTAAATATAAAATATGACTATAATTTGATTTAAGGATGTTTCAAAATCTAGATCTTAAAATTAAATCTATCTACATTGATAAATTATCACACTCAACATATTAATTTCAAAACATAGGGCAACTTATTTTTGTATTTCTTTTTTGTCAATATTAGCTTTTATTTTTTGAGTTTTATTTTTCTTTAAACCAAATTTCACCCCTTCTATGAATTGAGTTTTATACTGTGTATATTAATTAACTCACTCAACTCGATAAAAAATTAATAAGTTTAGCAAGTTTAATTGAGTCACTCGCAAGTTTAATTGAGTTTGTATTTAATCTAAATTCATGAGAGAGTTAATATGATTTTATAAGTTAAAAAATGTAAAAATAATAAACTTCAAAAGTCAATTCACGAGTTTAATCAAATTTTCTTCTAATTTGAGTTTTCAGTGAGTTGATATAATTTTATAAATTAAAAATATAAAAATCAAAAAAATCAAAACATTAACTTAAGAGTTTAATGATAATATTTGTTATGTTGATCCTTGCCTCTCCTAATTTTATTTGTTAGTCACATTCATTCTACAGGAGGTCTTCTTTGTTCTTAATGTAAATCATTCTCCCTTTTTTTATCAATTTTTGACATACGATTTCCAAAATATCCTCTTGTAAATTTAAAAGAAGGCCCAATATTTTAATTTTTAAAAAGAGTTACATGTTTAATAACTCTTTTTTAAATTTAAGAATAAATATGTAATGTAATTTAATTTAAAAGAATGATAGTTAAATTTTAAAATATTAAATTAATATCAATTAAGTATTTAACAAATTTTTTTAAAAAATAAATTAAAAATATTAATTTAAATTATTATAAATTCAAGAGGTTTAATTATAAATGAGCTTTTAAATATCAAATATAATTTTTAGAGTATAAAAAAATTATTGTAACTATTTAAATTAATATTTATAATTTATTTTATTGAAAATTTTATTAAAAATTTAATTAATATTAATTCAGTATTTTGTGACGTAACTGTTATTTTTTTTTTTGGCGGAAGGTCCTTGAATGTCATTTTATCCTTTGATTTTGTTTTTTTTAATGACTGTCAAACACCAAACAGAGTTTCTTCATCGCTCTCGTCACCGACTATTCGAGCATTGAAACTCCATCGGGTATTCTGGAAACAACCTCCGTTTCTACTCCGTTCCCTCTATAAATCAGTCCACGCTACGCAATCTCTTCGCCATTTTTTTCCTCTTCTGATTTGACATTCACATATTTCTCAATTCTTGATTCTTGATTCTTGATCAGTTAGGCATTTTCTCAAACACATTACCATGGCTGAAGATGGCACTGTCACGGTCTACAGTAGAACCGCCATTACCGAACGAGAAATGAATTCATTCTCATCCAATGCAGGAGGGCGTCAAATGCCTCGAGGAGGTGCTATTTTTGAAGTCTCAAGCATTCGACAAGCCAAGATTGCAGAAGAAGCCGGTGCTTGTGCTATCACTGTTTCGGAGCCAAGTCGCCCAGGCATTTTGCGAATGATTGATCCGTTTCTTCTAAAACTGATCAAGCAGGCCGTGAATATTCCCATAATTTCGAGGGCTCGGGTCGGGCATTTCGTCGAGGCCCAGATTCTTGAAGCTGTTGGTGTCGATTATATCGATGAAAGCGAGTTGCTAGCTGTAGCAGACGACCAAAATTATATCAACAAGCTCAATTTCACTTGTCCATTTGTGTGTGGGTCTCGAAGTCTTGGAGAGGCATTGAGGAGGATCAGGGAAGGTGCTGCGATGATAAGGACCCAAGGGGAATTAATAGGGTCTGGTAATATTGCTGAGACAGTGAGGAATGTGAGGTCAGTGATGGGGCAGATAAGGACTGTGAGCAACATGGATGAGGACGAAGTCTTTGCATTCTCAAAGAAGATAGAGGCACCTTACGATCTGGTGGCGCAAGTTAAGCAAATGCGTCGGCTGCCAGTCGTTCACTTTGCTGCCGGAGGCATTGTGACTCCAGCTGATGCTGCTCTTATGATGCAATTGGGATGTGATGGTGTGTTTGTGGGATCAGAAGTCTTTGATTGCTCAGATCCTTACAAGCGAGTTAGGGGAATCATTCAGGCAGTTGGGCACTATAATGATCCTAATGTGTTGGTTGAAAGCTGCTATGGCTTGGCTGAGGCCATGGAAGGTCTCAATAGTAGCGATGACAGGATTGAGCATTTTTAGTAGCGCCAGTCTCTAATCGAATTAACCGTTGGTATATTCATCATACAGCACATATAGTTGTATCGGTAAGCCCATTTATGTGGTTGAGCATATAGTACTTTTTTCTGTTACGGAAATAGAGTATGTACTTCTTAATCTCTTTTCTGCTATACATATTGATCTGAGATGGCTTTACCATTTATCTGGTTGCTCGGAATTACAAAGATGAGTTGATTGTTGCCTTTTATGTGAAATTTCAGTTCATAAAAGGACAATATATGATTGAGCTTATAGGTCTAGTTTGTAATAATAACAGAGGATATGCTTCATCTATATTGGTAATTGTTTTGCTCCGAATGATCTGTATTTGGCTTTACCATTCATCGAGTTTCGCTGCATTGCCTTGGTGAATTGGAATAAATTGGCTGCCTTCCATGTTAAAGTTGTTTAATTTTTAGTCCAAGGAGTGTGATTCGAATGCTTAGAAATCTATCAGGCTTCTAACTGGAATGATGGCTGACAATGACGATGATATACATTTACAGTTGGATCTTTGATGTCTACTAATTTACAAGATCCTAATTTCTCTTTTGGTCTATGTTGTGACTAGGCAGTGGATATTTTGATCCTGTTAACAAAATGTTTTAATAATTTACGGAAAAATTCATAACCTTCCGTCATTGTCTGAACTTGAAAGCTCTCTACAATAGGGATACTTCTAAGTTTTCTATCTCTTCTTGCTGATGTTGAACGAGTATTTAATATTGATTCAGCTACCTTGAAAAACAGATTTCAAGGGCACCTTTTTTTTTTTTTTAAGCAAAACGAGAGATACGATCATCCATTGAAAAATGTCTCATTTAAGGGTGATGGGATGAACATGTCTGTTTCTGAACATAGTGTCTTAAAGGGAAACTAAGATATATTCTCTGAATTAGAGACATGGTACAAAAGACCAAATCCGTTGAATGTTTCTAATTATCCAATTTGCTGAATACTGCTACTAACTAGCAACTTGCCAACTGTGTTCATAGGCAATGAATGTCAAATGCGAAATTTTTACTTTTATTTGTTTCTGAGACACTTGTTTGAATGGTGTCTCATTGTCTTGAGTTTCTAGAAAAGGATGGATCTCCTAGATTTTTAGTGCTGCTACTTCCACTGTTTGACAGGCTTCTGATAGCAATCTCATAAGCAGCAAACACAGCACCATTCACTATAAAAGCTCTACCCACTGTAGTTCCTATACCCCTCCACAAAACATTATGCCCTTCTTCTCTGACACTCTGTCCCACGCAATCAAGGATTCCTGTGTATTTCAGTGATGATTGTGTTTGAGCCTGGAGTCTTGTCTTTATAACATCCAAAGGGTAGGAACCAATCCAACTCACTACCCCAGCTAATCCTCCTGCTATTAGCATTGTGCTCAAGCTTTCTTGACTAGTTTTTCTGCAACCTGGGTGAAGTTGTTCCCTCATATATTCATATGTCCAGAAATATACACCATGACTAGGTGCATCCCGGAGAATTGTGATGCTGAATCCCCGGAATATTCCTCGAAGACCTTCTCTTTTCCATATCTTCCTTGTGGCTGATAGAGGACCTTCACAGGATTCTTTTAATTGGCCTTTTCTCTGAAGCTGGAGGCGAATTTTGACCAGTTCTACTGGGGAGACAATTGTGCTTTGTAAAGCACCGGTTATGAGTCCTGCTAGAGCAACGCTCCTGTAGGAAGGAGGGCTATTTTCTGAGACTGATGAGTCAAAAGCTCTTGAGAGAACTGCATAAGTTTGGAAAATCATAGCATTCTGCATCCAGAAAACAAAGAGTGACCAATATGAAATAATAATCAATGACATTCTTGTGTCAAACATTTGGGTGGGTATAAGCCAATAACTAAGACATAGAAGAGAGAAAAATGACCTGAAAAGTAATAGCGGCCAAAGGAGCAGCCATGCCCCTGTATAGAGAGGCAAGGCCTTCGTTGGACACAACATCTTTGATCAAGCTGAACACAGAAGTTGGCATGTTTGAGTTCTGTTGGTGGATTCGGAGGGTGTCCAGTGGATAACCAGAGATCACTCCAGCCATACCCCCCACACCTCCTGCCACAAATTCTCTACTCCAACTGCTTCCCACAAATTCACCCCACAGCATTCCTCTCTTATTTTGTATTAAGTCTTGTTTCTTTCTGTTGCTCGCCACGGATCAAGTCAGATTGTATCCGGCATGCCCAATTGTATTTGCGATATGCATGTAAAATGTCATAGAACTTCTGGGAAAGGTTCTGCTTTGTACTTCAATTATTGAAACCATCACAAGCTCAACAGTTTTCTAGATTCTGGCGTTTGCTCTGCAATCCAAATCCTTTTCTTGTTGGCAATGCAGACCCAAACTGTAAAACCATTGGACGTTAAAAACGTCCTTGGTTATGGCTTTTGGCTTCTGTTTCCTGCTCTGTAATTTGAGTTTGTAAACAGAGCAAGCTAAAACGCCGTTCTCTACCTGCTCTTTCCAGGCTAGATTATTCTTTCTTTTGTTCTGTTAACCCGAAACGTGATTGAATTCTTTTTTTTTTTTTGAGCAAAAAAACGTGATTGAATTCAAAGTTGGAAACCTTTGAGGTTCCGGCTATTGCTAAATGCTTTTCATCTGCACCTTCTAGCGAGGACGAAAAGAAGGAAGACAGAGATAGGAAAAGAGGGACCGAAATATTTAGCAATAATAGGCCGAAACAAATGCAAACAAACGGCTTCTATTTCGTCGGGAATGTAGTGTGCTGAGAACCTGAAGCGCGAGAGACCAACGCTCTCTTTCATGAGAGGCTTGGTGTTATTGAATGGTGTGCGTTTCAGAATCTTGAGACATAATAAACCGTTGTTTTTATGTCTCAAATAAAGAAATGCACTCACCACGGCATTTCAGGAAATTTTCCCTGTATTATTATATGTAATTTACACGCTGCATGCCTCGGCCATGGAAGAAATGATGATGATGATAATACCATTGTTTTTTGTATGTCTTAATCTTTGTGATGTGTCAATTATTTCCTACTTAGGTTTGCTCCACATATGGTTGATAATTAAATACAAAGGTTGACCCCAGTTAAATAAGTGGTAATATTTACCATTTATCAATGGTAGGATTATAGATTAGCCCCCATCCATGCAAGTATATGGGAAAGTAGAAAACTCTAAACATTAAACTATTAACTACTAGTCATATAAAATGCAATTTGCTGTAGGTGCTAAATCTCTTTTTATTTCAATATTAACAGTAATATTTCTATTTCCATTTGAATTCAAATTTTAAAATTTAAATCACCCAAAAAATAAAAAATGGTTAACTCGAGATATTTTTAATAAAAATTTTCTACCAAATTATTATTCGTTCTATGGATTGCATTGCAAAAAAATCTCTAATCTAATACTAGGTGATGCTTATTGTAAGACACATTCTAAAAAAGATTTATGAGCCTTAATTCAAGACTTGGAGGTATTAATTATATATTTTTAATATTGCTTCATTTAAACTTATTAACCTTCAGAGAAAAAGTAATGCAAATTTATTTTTTATTTAAATATTAATAAAAGTTGAAGTTTATTCTTTTCTCAAATAAAATTAATGGTTTAATATTTATTAGTAGATCCCAAGATACATTTAGGGACGCAATCCATCTTCGATCATTACTGCGAGGTCTAACTAAGTTCAAACTTGATGATACATCAAACGAAGAATGCTGTTTTCAAGCAATCACATTCAGAACAGTTCAGACGTTTGAGATAGAGCAGGCTTAGTTTATGTGTCAATGTCAACTCCTTTCTCTCTTCTGTATCTGTTGCAATTCAGAATCTTGATACTATTGACAAAATGTGGAGCTTAAAAAATTGATTAAACCCTTCTTGGTATTGAATGTCAATCTCAGACACACAAGGGGACTTTTTCCTAAAGGGGAGATATATTCCTCAATTGTCATGATGATACACGTCTAACCACCTTGCTAAAGCAATCACATTTCACAACAATAAGTAGCAAGACAGTCTTAGAGGAAAGCTGCAAACAAGAAATTTACTGTGCGTGTAACACAACGCACTTGGGTTCACAAATACAAGCAAGAAAGTATCTCTTAGACAAAGACCACATTAATTAGACATGCTCTCGTAGCATATTTAGTGACAGCTCAATAACTATGCGTAGGGTACTAATATGCTGGGAAAGCCTTCATTTCTTTCCACTCTTCTTCAGCCCAGAACCTCCAAAGGCCCCCTTTTGTTGTGCCTTGGATTTCAGCTCCCTTAGTGCCTGTTTCAAGCATTCAAAAGAAATGAGTTTGAATTGGCACATTAACAACAAATCAGTTTGTAAGTACAAAATTAGAGATACAACATCGAACCTTTTCCTCTTCCTTTTTCTTCTGAAGGTTAGCCAAATCAACCTGCAAAGTACAGATATAGATACAAATCAAATGTAAGATCCCAACAAACAATAACAACAATGACAAGCCTTATCCCACTAGATAGGGTTGGCTACATGCATGACATTATTGTACTCTATCATCAACCAAACTTTTAAGAATATTGTTAACTAACATCTCTTTCAACAACTTCTATAAGTATTCTTTTTTATCTTCCTTTATCCCTCTTTATAGAGTTCAAGATTATTTGTTCCACTTTCCTCACCAGTGCCTCCCATGACTTTCCCATGACTTTCTCTGTACATGTCATATTTGAATACAAGCTGTCTGTTTGTGTCAGTAAATGCATCAGGGTATGAAATTGAAGACATGTTACAACATAAACGGATAAGTGAAAGTGCATAGCAGTTTTCCATGTGTAATGAATGGAGACCATACTCCAGACCTCCATCAAAAACTAAAGACCCTAAAATGAGATCACCAAGTAACTTCCGCATGACTATTTGCATGAAATCCCAGTTTTAGCCGATGAGATCAGAGCTGGCACTAGCAAGTATTGATCTTCCAGAATGAGGTGAGATTGAACAGTTTGGTCCACATCCCTCTTCCTTACTTCACTGGTCTTAAGAGGCACCTTTTATGACCCAAAGAAGGTGCAAATTTTAGAACAAAGTGACGAATTAAAATCAGTTGCCTAGATGAACTCTCTTTGGTAAGATGAAATGGGTAATAACATGGTCAACAACAATCAGTTCATCGCCCAATGATTAATCTAGAAAAATTACATGGAAGAAACGTATAGAAAGGAGGAGCAACATAAACATGCCGTATATTCCCGATAAGGAGTTAAAAAATATAAGTCCTGGAAAAATCCTTTAATACTTCAAGAACATCAGCTGCAAGTCTATAAAAATAGATCAAGACTTCACAATTAATAACAACATATTTTTCATGCAATCTTAACCAACCCCAAACAAGACATCGTTCTGGTATTTCTTCCAACAGCTTTCATTACTTTCTAAAGGAAGCATATTACCCACCGTCTAATAATTTTATCTATCTAATACCGGTCAATCGAAAACGTAACTCGACTTATAGATTTCTATTCTTTTAGCCATGCTGATCTAGAAACCAGAGTTTAAGAGCAGCAAAATCCTTCAGATCGATGAAATACCTCGTCGTATTCTTTCTGATCAGACTTGGGTTTCTTCAAAGGCTTGGCTTTTCCACCTACACCGAAATATTAATCTCAGACGGAAAGAAAAATCAAGGTTCTAGGGAACAGATCAAAACACGAGAGTTTCATAGATCGAAAATAAGGGGGGAAAGCACAAGTTCAAAACATAAGAAGCATCCGCCGAATCGCAGAATCAGATGATTCCGATGACCGACATCGGCGAAGTAGCTACCTTGCTTGGACGACATGGTTGCGATGCAGAGCTAGGGTCCGGCCCAAATCCAGAAGCAAGAAAACTTTTTTCAAGCCCCGCGACCTTACCCCGTCCCACAATGGCCTCTCGCGGATTCTCATCGCTTTTATATTGTGCCGATCGCACAAGGTAAAAGCGAGAGGCCTCTTCTCGTTCATAAACGAGTAAATAAATAAATAAAATAATTTTAGTTAACCGCTTCAAATGATGGATTTAAATTTAAATTTTATATTTTAAATATCACATTTTAAATTTTTGCATTTATAATATTCTATTTAAATAGTTTAAAATTTTTTAAAGAGTTGAGATTTGAAATAAAAATTAGAAATGGTGTGTTTATATTCATTTTTAAATCGATAAGAGACACGAACCAGATATGAGAAAATATATAAGAATCATACAGATATTAATAATAAAAATATAAAGACATGAGATATTTGAAGTGACTAGAATTTTAAATAACTAAAATGTAGAGTAAATTTAAAATTATAAATAAATTATAATAAAAAAATAGATTTGGATTTGAATCCATAATTTTTTGTATATCCAAATGAGGGATTTGAATTTCAAATCCAAACCTATAATTTTTAATGATTCAAATGACAGATTTGGTTTAAATATAAATTCGAATCTCTATCAATTCAAACATTAAATTTACAAGGATTTTTAATTTGGGAACAGGGTATATTAAGTGGTATTTGTAAATATATTCTCCCAAAACCGTTAATTTTTGTAAACAATATTGAATAAAAAAAAGGAAAAAAGAAGAAGAGGAAGAGGAAGAGGAAGAAAATCAAATAAAAGTCAAACCTTCCACATCAAATTCATTCAGAGACGGAGTTGATGCTCATGCCATATAATGAACCATCTCCTATCTCCTATTTGATAATCATAATCATGTCAACATCTCTCTTTATCATGTATTTGTAGTACTGGATTAGATTAAGCATTATTAGTATTCATATGATGAGTGGGTTAATGTTGAATTTATTCATTTATAATTAAATTAAGCACTCCTTTAATCCTATTTATAAACTCATTTTAATGATTCTTATTACAAAACTTATGTAAGAATTAATGAACTTTTTATGGCCCTTTTCTAGAATTACCTTTTACAAAAGAAAAGGAAGGAGGGAGAGACTAAAATCATTTTATTATTGTGTTTATATAAAGACTTTATTAGTAGACGATCTGTAAGTATTTTTATAATTATTATTTAAATCTAAATGCATGCTTTAGCCCTGGCAAGCTCTCAAAATTTAACTTATCTAAACTTTTTTGTATAAAAGACAACAAGAGAGAGAGGGGGGGCATGTGTAGAGAGTGAGTTAAAAGAATTTTTTTTTTTTAACCTTTTGGCTTGGATCTATGGTATATTTCATTTGTTTGGAATTTTTTTTTTATGAGGACAAAATGTTAACCCCATGTTTGGATAGAGGGGAAGGGGAGTCTAATGAATTCAATTTCATAAAAAAAATAGAGTTATAAAATTTTACTAAAGAAAAGATAAAAATTAAAAAGAGTAAATAAAATTAATTAAAATCTCCTAACCCCACTTCTCTATTTCGTTTAATTACCACAAAGAATTAAAAAAGGTTGCATGAAATCTTAAAATAAAAGGCGAAGGTGATGCTCTTAAGCTTTGGTAAATTCCTCAAATGAGTGTGACAAGAAGAGACAAGAATGAAGAGGGAATCCCCAATATTCTCTTCTTCTTTGATCAGTTGTTCCCTTGAGCGACATCTATCATCATTCTATAAAATTAAACTAGTTTTACAAGCTATTAATTATAAAATAATTCAATTTGTAAATTTCGTTATTCTATTAATTGAATAGATCTGTTTAATTAAAAATTAATTATTACATCATTAATTAACTTATATTCCAGAAAATATAGCATCGTCATTACGTTTATAGATATTGATTTTTTTCTAATAAATTGGATATTTAATTACGGCTCCATCAATTTGGCAACAACACTCTTCTGCCAAAAAAGAAAAAAACTTAAGATAATCTATCATTAGAAAATAAGTAAATTATGGGCCTATTTAATTGAGTTCCTATATTTTGCTTTCAAAACTCTTTTAAGATAGAATTTTTAAAATTATTTTTCAAAGAAAAATAAAAAATTATTAAGTTATGTTAATTTAAAAATAGTGTTAGAATTAAAAAATGGACAAATAGTGGTAGTGATCAATGATTATAAATAATGGTGACTTATGATATTAATTGATGGGTTAATGTGTAAATTGAACCTTGAAATAGTACGCAAAAAGCACCCTAGATGTTGAATTTTTAAAGAGTGCAAGATGAATCATAAACTTTTGAATTCATAATAAATTACTCCCACTATTATCTTTTTGTTAAAACCATTATTGTTCACTATAAGGCCTAGTCAAAGGCTGACATGACAGTTCCTTATTGATATATCATTTATTAATTAGTATCACAAACCCTCAACTATTACATGAGTAGCATTTTGGATCCTAAACTTTAAATTTATAAACAAATTACCCCTATCATTTATGTATAGAATATTGACTATTATATAAATCAAATTAGCCTGAGTATGATCTGCTGTGATGAACGCATTGTTGGCGGCGACAAATAACTCATAATTTTGTGAACTTTTTTTGCAATGTTTTTCAAGTGATTGATATCTCAAACTTTCGTATACTCTATAACTTTAATTTAATCTTATTTTAAATAATGTTTATTTATTTAACAGGTGAAAATTTGGGATCCCATTTGGAATGCATAAATCTGCAAATTCTAACCTGATTTGACCTTCTCCTCTATCATATAGCGTTGTCTTTCGTTTGCTGAGTCGTTCTCTTTCACCGCCAACCTTTGCTTTTCTCCATGTGTCGAGCAATTTTGCCCTGAATCCATAGAAGAGGATACAAGGTGTCCCTTTTTTAGGGCTCGCACGAGAGGCCAAAAGATCAGAATTCTGTATGTGTGTTCCCTTCATCTTTGACTGCTGCGTTCTAAAAACCTTGGATGAAGCCGCACCTATGCCTCTTCTCTCTGCATTTGTGCATGTCTCCTCTTCTTCAATCAAGGCCACTGAAGGGCTCTTTTAAGGCTGAATGAAATGCTGGATCATTCAGTGTTTCAATCTCCCTTATCATTCTTTTTTTTAATTTTTTTTATTATCATTTTTTCGGATTTTTTTATGTGTAAATATATTTTAAAGGAAACAATCAGATTTAAAAGAATTAAGAAGTTGATTCTCATGATTTTTTGATTGTTGAGATAATTTGGTAAAGGGATTTTTTTTAAAAGATTTAAGCAATATTTTCTCCTCTATTTTTCAAAATTAATTTTGAAGAAAAATTAAATTTATTTATCTTCTTTATTTTTTATTTCAAAAATAATCCTTAAAGGATTAACTTTTTATTTTTGTTAAAAAGAATTAATATTTCTTTTTTCTATTTTCGATCATTTTTTAAATTAACTCTTGAAAAATAATTAAATTTCATTTTTATATTTTTTGATTGTTTTAACTAATTAAAAAAAATAAAATCCTAGCTAATAGGATAAGGATAAAATAAAATCAAAACCTATTAAATTAATTTTTTTATTTTTTCATTTTATCTATATTATTAAAATTTTATTTTTTGGTTAAATTTAATATTTTTATTATGATAATGATTATTATTATTATTATTATATTTAAAATACATGAATAAAATATAGTGTTCACAAGTAGCACTTGATATATTAACAAGAGTTAATGTGCAAAATGGACTTTGAAGTATTATGAAAAAAGTATCATGAACTCTGAACTCTTAAAATGTGCAAAATAAATCATAAGCTTTTAAATTTATAGTAAATTACCCCCACCATTATCTTTTTGTCAACGTCGTTACTATTTACCATACTATTCATTGTGGGCCCCAATCAAATGCTAACGTGACAGTCCCTTACTGATATGTCATTTGTTAATTGGTGCCACATACCTTAAATTATTGTGTAAGTAGCGTCCTAAACTCTAAACTTTTAAATTTTGATCAAATTATCCCCACAGTTTATGTATAAAATGTTGACTATTATGTAGACTAAATTAGTTTTAACATGATTCGTTGCGGTGATGCATTGTTGGTGAACGACCCATAATTTTGTGAAATGATGTTCCCCTCTTTTTTGTGATGTTTTTCAAATGACTGGTATCTCATGCTTTCGTACACTCTATAACTTTGGTGTAGTTTTATTTTGAATAATTTTTATTTATTTAATGATAAAAATTTAGGATCCCATTTGATAAAAAAAGAGTTTAAGTTTAAGAGGATTTTACAAACGATGAATACAAAAGCCGATGATTTTATCAACAAATTTAAAACCAAAATTAACCAGTTAATTAAAATCCTCTAATATTTAAACTTATTTTAAAATGAAATCCCAAGTTTTCACTATTAAGTAAATAAATATTATTTAAAATAAGACTAAATCATAGTTATACAGTATATGAAAGCATGCGATAACAATCGTTCGGAAAACATTACAAAAAAGGGACAGAAAATGTCATTTCATAAAATTATAGGTCGTTAGCCACAGCTAACGATGCGTTCACCACAACGGACCATTCAGAAGCTAATTTGATTTACATAATAGTCAACATTCTATACATAAACGATGAGGGTAATTTGCTCGAAATTGCAAAGATCAGGGTCTAAAACACTACTCACGCAATAGTTTAAGAACTGTGATGTTAATTAACAAATGACATATTAGTAAGGAATCACCATATCAGCATTTGATTGAGCCCCACATTGAATAGTAATGGCCTTAAGAAAAAGATAACGGTGAGATTATTTGTTATAAATTTAAAAGTTTAGAGTCATTGCACATTTTCAAAATTTAGGGTTAAGGAAACTTTGTACATAATACTTCAGGGTTTATTTTATACATTAATCCAAACAACTCTGCAATTCTGCTAAAATTATTAAAAATTTCTTTCTAATTTTAAAATTTGGACTTTTGAATAATTTTGAACACTATTAAAATATTATATCAAAGATTCTAAAATAAAAATTTATTTTTAAAGTTTAAAGTATTAATTTATCCTCATATCTTAGATATACAATTTATCCTCATATCGAATTGTCCTACACACCCTCTCTTCAACATAAATAACATTAAATAATGATAGATATAAAAATAATTAATTATAATAAAAATATTAAACTATAGAGTAAAAGTTACCAAATTATATCGAGAAAGATTTTCTTTATTATAAAATTCATAATTCATTAATTTTCGTTGTACATGCATGTTTGAAATTTTTTTTAGACGACATATCTGGTTAGACATTAAAAAATTACCAAATAAATATGCTTAAAAAAATTTAAATGATCAAATTTATCTTTTTATACTATGATAAAAATAATAAAATATCTGCACTAAAATTGTTTTTTAGTAACTTAAATAATTTTTAATAAATATTTAATTTTAAAATAGTGGCATTTTAGTCTAATACTTGTGATTTAAAAATTAACTAACTATTGATTGGATGGAAATTAAATCACTACTAGAAAACAGGCAATTTGTGATAGATTTTGTTCTTGATTTGCAATGGATTTTCTATCCCAAATATGTGACAAAAATGTGTATATCATGAATTTGCTCGTCTCAAAGTTGAGATACTACTTTTGCAGTGGAATATTTGTCCTAAATTTAGGATGGATTTTGACATCACAAATTTGTGACAGTAAACATTATCACAAATTCAAATTCATAATCTTTTGTGTATCCAAATAAAAAATTTAATCCAAATTCAAATTCAAATTGCTATTAATTCAAACACACTATAGAAAATAATAATAAATTTATATGGAGTGTGAATAAATACTAGAAGAGAGATTGAAATAAAGGAGAATGGTACCTAAGGCTTCCAAATGAGAAAAAATTATAATGAGGGCTCATTACAATTGAAAGTTCATCTATTTACGAGTGAGTTAATGAACTTGTATTTGTAAATAGATGAACCTTCAATTATATTAGACCCTTATTGTTATTTTTTTTTTCCTTTGGAGCCCTTACTGCCATTCATCTTTGAAATGATGAAAATGTTGCATGGAACCTTCAAAAAAGGTTTCTCTACACTATTTTCTTGTAAACTTTCAAAGCAAATAGTGAAATAATTAATCAAGCTAGCTAACTCCTATGAAAGAAGAGTCAAGCGAATTATAAAAAATAAAGGATATAACACAATGCACTCATACTTGACTAAGGAATCATATGCATGGAACACACATGTTTACTTTTATTTTTGAGTGGAAAAGCTAAGCCACACTAAGGAAGAAAAGTAATGAAAAGCAGAGCTCGTAATAATGCATCTACATCTGACCAAAAACTCGGAAGCTAAATAAGCTTTGAACTTGGATTGGAATATCTGCTTGGCCGCGTGGTCATCCCATTCCAGATTGTTCCACCAACTTTCTGGTCCTTGGATGAGTGTCAACTTGAGTTTGGCAGAATTGGAATCAAGTGGTAACTTTTTCAGCTCTGGACAATCATATATTCTAATGGATTTGAGGGAAGGAAAAGGCAAGGTTGCCTTGTGGATGCTCTTAATACTTGGCAAGCCCTCTAGAGTGAGAGTGACGAGAGAAAAGAATAAAGAGGAATCCTCAATATTCTCATCCTTTGTTGCTGCTTCTTCTTTGATCACCTCTTCCATTGACCTACATCCTTGAATGCTAAGTTCTTGAAGGAGAGGAGCATGCTTGAGCCATGTCGCATGAGTTACTCCTTGACATGCACATATTGTCACGCTTCGGAGCTTGTTTAGGCAACATGTATCGATAACAAAAGAATATTCCGTGCTTCCAATACAATCCAACGAATACAACTTAATTTCTTGCAGGTGCTTCATTTTTGACATGCATGCTAATAATGAAGCGAGATTCTGCAAATATGTGCAATCAATAGAAAGGTTGTATATGCAACTTTGCAATTTGATTGACTTGAATAATTTGTGGCGACCATCTAAACTCCTTATTCCTATCCATACTTCCTCAATATTTGGAAGCGATTATAGCTCTTCTAAAATATTCTCTTCTTGATTAATCACTATCCTCTCGTCAGCTTTAAACACTCTTAATTGTTGAAGACTTGATACCACTCCCAACGGAATATTCCATTCCAACACATCTAATACCCGCAAGCTAAGAAACTTTATATTTTTCAAGTACCGCAATTTCATGAAATACTCTTCTCTTGGAATATCTATCATTAGCAAAGTAAGACATTCAAGAGAAACTAAACCACCAATCTCCACAAATATTCGTTCTTCTCTGACTATTACATCCAAGACTCGCCATCTCTTCTTCATGTATTCAATATCTTGATCATGTGCTGTCCATAGTGCCATGTCATGGATCATATCATGCATTTTAACTATTCAACTCATAAAAAGATCATTTTCAATACCCTCTAGCAAGCATGAAAGCTTCAACTTTTCAAAAACAGTCTCCCCATAACCACGCATGTCTTGTACACTCTTTCTCATGGCATTACAAAGAAATTTCTCCCACGTCCATTTATTGATGAGATTGAGAACCATAATCTCACAATCTTCTGGGTATGATGCACAGTACAAGAAACAACTTTTATGTACCTTATCCAACTGGTCATAGCTAAATTTAAGGACAGAGAATACTTTCACCTCCAAATTTGGAGCAGTTAATGAAGAACTCGTTAAGTTATTTATTGAATGTTCCCAAGCTTCCATGCTCTTCACTCCGGCCATGGCACTTCCTATCACGATTAGTGCAAGTAGTAACCTTTTACATTCTTTAGCCATCTTCTCAGTTAATTTTGGAATGTGAGGGTTTGACCTCAAAGTTTCCTCACCAACTTTCATGCAAAATAACTTTGATGCTTCTTCCTCCGTCAATGTTTCTACCTTGAATGTTCTTTCAGCTTGCATTTTTGCACACACGTCTTCTGACCGTGTTGTGAATAATATTTTGGATTGACATTTAGTGTCTTTTGGATGTGGCACTCCAACTAATTTCAAGTCTAATGTATCCCATATGTCATCCAATAATAAGGAAAATTTCTTTTGTTTGAGGACTCTATATATCCTTGCTACCTTTTCACGTGGATTACAGCAGGTCTTCCAAATGTCGTCTTTGATCCCAACCAGTTTTCTAATATTATCCATAATACTATCCAGGTTGGGCTCTTTTGATACCACCACCCACATCACAACATCAAAATCCAACCTTCTGTTCTCAAGTTCATTATTAAGTTTCTTCAATAAAGTAGTCTTTCCCACCCCGCCTATCCCATATAAACCAATCACACCAACATTCTCTACTTCAATACTATTCCACACCTTATCAAACATCAAATCCAACCCCACCGTCTCATTGAGAGGTATCTCAATTGCGTTGGTTGGTACTTTGTAAACAACTGGAAAATCCTTACTGTAGCCTTTCCCCTCAGTTGCCATTTCATCCACATCCTTGAGCATCTTAGCAACAATCTTTCCCAGCTTGTAGCTCGACATACAATCCTTTGGACACCTTTCACTAAAGCATTTATTCTGAACTTCTTAGGCTCCTCGAGCTTCTATATCTATCGTTTCCTGTGAATATGAGATTGTTAATTAGGTGCATAATCTTCTCTTTCTTCATTGAAGTGAAAATACACACACGTACACACTCTTTTGAGTCACGTTTAAATGTGGACGTGACATGATCTCTGCATACATTCTAATTTGGTATTCAATGTATTAACAAGAAAAAAGCAAACACTTCATTCACAAGTATTTACACAAATTTAAACACTAGAATTAATTTGTTGGAAAATATTATGACACCATAAAATTTAGTTGAAGATACATACAAAAATTCTCATTATTCCTAATCTTGTGTATTCCCTCCGGTTCTTAATATACGGTAAAATTAACAAATTTTGCATTTATTAAGAAAGGTAGATATATCTGTAAAATTGTTTTAAAAAAAAAGTACGTGACTTTTCAATTATATCCTTCTTTGCAATTAATATAACCATAATAAGTTGCTTTTCAAGAATTCAAATGATAATAAATAAATAGTAGATAAAATTGAAAAGAAATATTATTTACTATAACTTTGTGTTATATTTAGAACAAAAAAAAACTCTTAAACTTTGCCTTTCTATATGAGCGTTGAAATTAATATTCTTTTTATTCTTCCTTGATTGCATAAACAGATAACATGTAATTTTTTAATCAATAAATACATTATACATATGACTTTACCTTCTTAATCATAAAGGGAAAACTGAAATCTAGGCTCCAAATCAGAGCAAATTAGTTAAAGAAAGATCTTATAAATTCAAAGTATACTCAAAAGGGTGAAAAGGAGATATGTGAATAAGTAAATCATAACTTGAGAAACTACCTGTTGAAGGACTTCAACTCGTTGCAGCCAAGCACTGAGTTGGTGTGATATTTTCATTCCTGGATTGTTATCAGCCTCTTCATCTTGTGCTTCCATATCTTTTTTAATGTCTTCAAGCCTTTTCCTCTAATCTTCTAGCTTCTGCAGATTGTTTTTCAAATCAAAGAGGAAATCAGCTTCTTGTTTGGCGCAGCCACAAAATCACTTGACAACTTCCCATATGACTCCAATAAAGGAAGACTGATCCATATATGAGTGTTGAAAATGAACAGATTTGAGATGATGAGATGTTGAGGAAGACTCAACTGAGAGTAAAGTTGTCCTTAATTAGATGTGATATGCTCAGATAGGTTTCTTTTATGTTGGAAGAGGCATTGCGCTCCAAGTCATCTCCCAACTTTTTCTTATAAAACCAGTGGAGTGGGTCAGCATATACATATTAATTAATTCTGCAAGATTTGAAAGCTAGTGATGCATGAAAATTGTCAACAAAACTATATAAAAAAAATAATATTTCTTTTTTTTTAAAGACATTTGTGAGATTTTAAAAATAAAGAATTGTAATTTTTACAAAGCTCTATATATTATTTATTTATTTTAACGAAGGTCTATACAAATTTATTGAAATTAAACAAATTCAAAAAACGTATCTGTAATTAAAAAAAGAGAGCATTTCAATGAGGCATCATCAGACAATACTCAATAGTCAAGCTATCACAATTCACAAAGAAAGCATTTTTTTTAAATTAAAAAAAATCTTTGATTCAAAATATCTCACATTTAAGATTATGATTTATGAACACAGATTGAAAATACTATCAATTATCATAAATTATGGTAAAATTTGATGTTATTTTTAATAAAATTTACATATAATTGATTATGAAAGAAAGTATATCTATGATTATTTGACTTCATTATTGTTATTACTAAAGGTCAAAATTGTATAAAAGTAATTTTACTGTGTAAATTTTCTAAATTGTCAGTTATTTAAATCAAAACTTTTTGCTGTAAGTAGATACTTTCATGATTTCAAAAAACTTCCTAATTCTTCCATCAGAATGCATGGAAAACTCAAACTAAAGATTTTTCCTTGGATGAAAATAACTATGCACAAATTTAATACTTGAATTTTGTTAAATAAATATTTTTATATGATTATCTAATTGAATAAAATTTAAATATTGTCTACCTCAATAAATCATCATTATTTTGTTGGGGATATAAACAACGTGGGAAGTATTGGTAAGTCCAATGTTGTATGTCTTGCAGCAAGGCCCAATGGTTGCGGGGGTATGTCTGAAGCATTACTTTTAGAATCTGCCACCATTGAAGGGTAGTTAGCTTCATCACCTCTCGAATCTGAAGTCTGAACTGTCTACCAAAAACAATAAAGTAAAACTTCAGTTAACACGAGCAACCAATACTCCCCTTACTTCTTTTAACAGTGATTAAAGGCTGAGCTTAATCAATTTGGAGTTTCCTTCGATTATTTGAAGTGAATTGCTTGGTTAATGAATAATGAATATTGAGAGGGCCTTGAATTGGTTGAATGTTGATAAAGAGGGAAAATGTAAAGGAGGAATGGAGAAAGAAGTGATGGCAGATTCTTTTGGTTTTATGTTTGACCATGTTGGAAGTTTTGAGGCCAAAGGGAAGTTTTATTGAGTCTATCTGCATTTATGCAATGGCATATGCATGTGCAGGTGATTGAAAATTTATATTATAATAATGCATTTACCTCTGACAACGACTCGAAAGCTAAATTAATAAGCTTTGAGCTTTGATTGGAATATCTGCTTAGCTGTGAGGTCCTCCCATTCCAAATTGTTCCACCAATTTTCTGGCCCTTGGATGAGTATCAACTTGAGTTTGGCAGAGTTAGAATCAAGTGGTAACTTTTTCAACTCTGGACAATCATATATTGTTATGGATTTGAAGGAAGGAAAAGACAAGGGTGCCTTGTGGATGCTCTTAAGCTTTGGTAAAAAGCTCAATTCCAGCGTGACAAGAGACAAGAATAAAAAGACGAATCCACAATATCCTCATCTTCTGTTGCTTCTTCTTTTTCTTTTATCACTTGTTCCATTGACTCACATCCAAGAATGACAAGTTCTTGAAGGAGTGGAGCATGCCTGAGCCATGTCGCATGAGATACTGAACATGAATAGATTGCCACCATTGAGAGCTTGGTTGGATGCAACATGCACCGACAACAAAAGAATATTCCTTGCTTCTAATAATATTCAATGAAGACGACTTAATTTCCTGTAAGTGCTTCATTTTTTACATGCATGATACTAATAAAGCGACATTCTGCAAATACCTGCCTTGAATAGAAAGGCTGCATGTACAACTTTGCAATTTGATTGAGTTGAATAATTTGCTGATACTATCTTGACTCCTTATTCGTATCCATAATTCTTCAATATCAGGTAGCGATTCTAGCTCTTCTAAAATATTCCCTTCTCGATTAATCTTTGTCTTGTCATCAAGTCTAAACACTTTTAATTGTTAAAGACTTGATACCACTTCCACTGGAATATTCCATTCCATCACCTCGCATCCCCGCAAGCTTAGAAACTTTAAATTTATCAAGTACAACAAGTTCATGAAATACTTTGCTCTTGGAATATCTTCCATTGGCAAAGAAAGATATTCCAAAGAAACTAAACCACCAATCTCTAGAAATAATCGTTCTCTGACTTTTACATCCAAGACTCGCAATCTCTTCATGTATTCAATATCTACTTGACAAAGTACATCGACATCACCAATTTCCAATAAAACTAGTGTTGTGGCATTTAGAGGATCTAGGATTTTCTATGATTCCCAATAATTCATGATTGAAATTCTTTGCAAGTGTTTCATATTACCTTGATCATGTGATATCCAGAGTGCCATGTCACGGATCATATCATGCATTTTAATTGTACGATTCATAAAAAGGTCATTTTCAACAACCTCTAGCAAGCACAAAAGCTTCAACTTTTCAATAACAGACTCCCCATAACCATACATATCTTGTACACTCTTTATCATAGCTTTACAAAACATTTCTCCCACATCCATTTATCGATGAGATCAGGAACTAGAATCTCACAATCCTTTGGGTATAATGCACAATACAAGAAGCAACTTTTGTGTGCTCCATCCAAATGATCATAACTAAATTTAAGGACAGATAAAACTTTCATCTCCAAATTTGGTGCAGTAAAGGAAGAACTTGTTAATTTACTTATAAAATGTTCCTAAGCTTCTAATCTCTTCACTCCAGCCACGGCACTTCCTACCACAATTAGCACAAGTGGTAACCTTTTACATTCTTTAGCCATCTTCTTAGTAAGCTTTGGAATGTTAGGGTCTGACCTCAAAGTTTCCATACCAACTTTCATTCAAAATAGCTTTGATGCTTTTTCCTCTGTCAATATTTCTACCATGAATGTTCTTTCACACTTTTGCATAAGCATCTTCTGACCGCGTTGTGAATAACATTTTGGATTGAAAATTAGTCTCCTTTGGATGTGGCACTCCCACCATCAATTTCAGGTCCAATGTATCCCGTATGTCATCTAATAATAAGACAAATTTCTTTTTTCCAAGGACTATATATATCTTTGCTGCCCTGTCATCTTGATTACTACAACTATTCCAAATGTCATAATCAATTCCAACCTGTTTTCTAATATTATCCATGATATTATCCAAGTTGGGCTCTTTCAATACCACCACCCACATCACAACATCAAAATCCAACCTTCTCTTCCCAAGTTCATTGTTAATTTTCTTCAATAGGATAATTTTTCCCACCCTACCCATTCCTTATAAACCAAGAACACCAACATTCTTTTCTTCAATGCTATTCCATACCTTATCAAACATCAAATCTAATCCCACCACTTCATCTTGAGGCATCTCATTTGCTCTGAGTGGTACTTTGTGTGCAATTTTAAAATCCTTACGAAGCTTTTCCCCTCAGTTGTTAGTTCATCCACATCCTTGAGCTTCTTAGCAATGATCTTTCCAAGCTTGTAGCTTGACATGCAATCCTTTGAACACCTTTTACTAAAACATTTGCTCTGAATTTCTTGGTCTCCTTGTGGTTCAATATCTTTTATTTTCTGCAGTGAATATAATTAAGATTATTAAGTGCACAATCTTCTCTTTACTTATTTGTGGGTCATGAGCTTGTAGTAAGTAGTAATTAAATATATATACTTTTGACTTTGAGTCATGTTTCCATGTGCACATGACATGATCTTTGCATATACATTCTAATTTTGATTTTCACTGTATTAAAACAAGAAAAAGGAAACATTTTTTTTGCAGGCGTTCGCACAAATTCAAATACTAGAATTAATTAGTTAGAAAATATATATTACGATGCCATGAAATTGAAACATACAGATTCTAATCATTCCCAATTTCGTGTACTATTTTTATCTCCATGAGAGTTGAAATTAACATATTCTTTTTTATTCTTCCTTGATTGCATAAAAAATAAATAATTTATTCTTGAATAAATTGAAGTTATAAATATTTTATACATCGAACATAGAGAGTATTTGCTTATCATCGCTAATTAAGTCCATGTGACTTTACTTTCATAGAGGGAAATTAAAGTTCAAATCTAGAATCTAAATCAGAGAAAATTAATTGGTAAAGAAAGGTCTTACAAATTCAAAGAAAAGGACATGTTAACAGGTAAATCATAACTTGAGAAATTACCTGTTGAAGGGTTTCAACTCGTTGCAGCCAAGCAGTGAGTTGATGTGATATTTGCATCTTTGGATTATTGTCAGCTTCTTCAATTTGTGCTTCCACGTCTTTCTTAATGTCTTCAAGCCTTTTATTCTGATCTTCCAGCTTCTGCAGATTGTTTTCCAAATCAAAGACGAAATCAGCCTCTTGTTTGACGCAGCCACAGAAACACTTGGCAGCTTCCCTTATGACTCCAACAAAGGAAGACGGATCCATTTTAGTGTCGAGGATGAACAGATCTGTGAGAGATGATTAGGCGTGGAGGAAGACTCAATTGAGAGAGAGTAAAGTTCCCTTGGATGTGATGCTGAGAGAGAAATAAATGCATACTAGTTCTGTAAGAATTTTGGATCCTAGTTGGAAGACATGTTGCTCAGTCCATGTTACTGTCAAGTGTCAAGTCATCTCTCAATTTTTCCCGTGAAATTCACAGGAGGCTCAGAAAATGTAACCTTAAAATTATAATTTTTTAAAAAATATTAAAACACTACTATAATCTATACATATTCAAATTACCTAGAACTTAATTATCAAAGGATGTGATGTCAATTATCCTTTTAAAAATATTATGGAACAAACTAAATTTTTTTTTCTTTATGAAAGATCAAATTGAGTTAAATCATGTGTTTAGAAATGATAACTGAGATGTTGATTATCTTGCTAGAATATGTGATATTTTAGAA